AGATCAAACGCCTCCGGGAGCTTCCCCGCAAGCTTTGGAGATCGAGCGAGCTTTCGCTCCTCTTCTCCCTCTTTGGATGCAGCATTGCTGGCGGTACTCGCCCTCCTCAGCCTGGCCCTGTAAGCGCGCTCGCCGAGAAGACTGGCGCGTGGGTGAAGTCGCGGGCCTCCTTGAATCGATGGAGCGCCGTGCGATGTAGCCCTCCTCCTGGAACCCCCGATCGCTGAAGTCCCTGCGCGTGAATCTCCCTTGTCAGCGAACCATCGCCGAGGCAAACGGAGCGATCTGAGCTGCCTCAACAAGCCGCCCACAGCCGCCTTACCTCGCATTCTCTCATAAAAGGCTACAGCAAAAACATTTATATAGGAATCGATAGCCCTAAATTCTAGGAATATGCTCAGGGTTTTCTACTTTGGAGGTGCGCAGCGATAGCAGTTTGGAAAGGGCCTGGTTCCCTCCAACACCTTGACGAAAGTGTGGACGTCGCCCCACAAGCCCAGCCCACATTGCATGACCAGCATCCACAGCATAATGCCCAGGCAAACGCTCAAATCCACCACCCAGCCCAGCCTCGACAGGGATTTGGAGCCTCGCCGTGGCTGCGGCAACCAAAAGACTGCAATGTAAGCCATGCATGGGATGATGAAGAAGTTCCAGGACACAAGGATGGCGTCCAAGAGCTTGTTGATTGCACCGAAGAAAGGGAAGGCAAGAGTGGTGATCCACAACACCAGGAACACTAGTATCCGGGACAACGTTTGCTTTATGTAGCTTGGTGAGTTGTGGATGGAAATGTGTGATTTTGTGTATGTGGAATGCTCTATCAACTTCATTGCTTTGGTATGGTTATGTACATAACGGTATGGGTGTGACGCTTGGCGGTTGGTGTCTTGGATGAATGACTTGTCTTCTTTGCTGATGTGGAGACTTGTCATCACTTGTCTCCACACTCCTCAAGGCTCACACCGTCAGTCAAACGGAATGATTTGAGGAAGAGTTCATGCTTCACTTGAGGCAAGGACTTCGTTAGGATATCAGCAACCATTGAGATGGTCGGACAGAATTCCAGGTTGATTATTCCATTGTTGACTTGATCCCCGATGAAATGGAACCTCAACTGAATTTGAATCCCGAGGTCCTGCAACAACGTCTTAAGCCATATAGCCTCTTTCGCTGCTGCTGCAGCTGCGATGTATTCAGATTCGCATGAGGACATCACAGTGATCTGCTGCCTCCTGGAACACCAACTAACCACATTATGGTTATACATGAAGACATACCCTGAGGTGGATCTTCTGTCATCTAGATCTCCTGCCCAGTCTGCGTCTATGAATCCCACCAGGCCATTGTCTCCATCTCCTCTTGCATATTTCAATGTGAATTTCCTTGTGCCACTCACATACCTCATGATCTGCTTCATAGTGGCCCAATGTGAGGGTGATGGATTGTCCAGGAACTTTGAGACTGCTCCCACATTGAATGCAAGATCAGGCCTAGTTGAGACCATCAAGTAGATGAGGCTCCTGACCACTGAACGGTACAGTGTTGTGGTCTTCTCCTCAGGAGTGTCATCAGAGGTTGATGTCAAACTAAAAGCCTTGGACAACTTTGAGCTTGCTTCCATAGGAGTAGCCACTGGATTAGCGTTAAGCATAGAGTACCTCTGGAGAATGTCATGGATGTATTTGTCCTGGGAGAGCTCAAGTACTCCATGTTGCTTATCCCGGTAGACTTGAATTCCTAGACAGTAGTGCAAGTTTCCCAGATTGGTCATCTCGAATTTAGCAGCGAGAGAGTCCTTGATGCAGCAGATGAGTCACATCTGGTTGGAGGTGAATATTGTATCGTCCACATATAAGGCTAAGAATAGAAAGCCTTGGCCATCTCGATATATGTAGAGATTATTATCAGCCGTGCTGTGAGTAAAGCCCAACGAGGTCAAAAAGCTGTTAATTTTAGTGTACCATGACCTGGGGCTTTGTTTCAGCCCATAGGGAGCTTTGTGCAAGCGACAGATGAGATGCTCTTGTCCGGGACATATAAACCCAGGAGGCTGGGCAATGTACACCTCCTCCTCAAGATCATTGTTCAGAAAAGCAGTTCCCACATCAAGTTGATGGAGCTCTAGTTCGAGCTTAGCTGCAAGGCTCATCAAAACATTGTTGTCAGCTTTACAACAGTGCTATAAGTTTCAAAGTAATCAACTCCCTGGATCTGAGAGAAACCACGAGCTACAAGTGTGCCTTGTAGCGCTTGATGCTACCATTAGCTCAATATTTCTTCTTGAACAGCCAGTTGGCTGTGACTGCCTTCCTGCCGGGAGGGAGCGGAACCAATGTCCAGGTTCCATTCTTGATCAGTGAGTCATACTCGTCCTACATGGCCGCTTGCTAGTGTGAGGCATCAGGACTAGAGAGAGCAGCCTGGTCAGCAATGGAGCTCATGGCCCAGTAGAATCCCTTCTTGCGTGGAGCTTGAGCAAGAGATTCTAGAGCTCTGACTGTTGGCTTGCTCACTCGTCCTGAACGGGTAACAGCTCCAATCTCTTGATGAGGTGGTGGTGTCATGAGAGAATCTGGAGGAGGTGAGCGGGAAGATCCTCCAACTGTTTCTTCACCAACAAACAGCTCGTCCATAGTAGCAGCAAGATTCTACTCACTGGATAAAGTAGTGTTGCTACTAGTAGCCACCGAAGTGACTAGAGGAACTGGTAGCAGCGGAGTTGCTGGAGGAGGCTCATCACCAAGTGGAGGAGGTGTTCCTCCTTCTGGAATGAGCAGCCTCTGGACTCCTGGTGCAAGTGGGTGGGTGAGCTCATCATCCAGCATTGGGGTCAAGTCCACCAAGTTAGAACTTGAAGGAATAGTATTTTGAATGTGACAATAAAGCTCTTGCTCATTGAAAGAGACATCTTGGTTGACCATGAGCTTCTTGAGAGCAAGATTATAGAGGCGGTAGGCCTTGATAGCCCACAAAGATGTTCTTCTGGCTCATAGGATCCAGCTTCTATCGAGTCGCATTTGGAATGCGAGCATACGCTATACACCCTAAGACCCTCAAGTGCCCTAACTGAGGACACTTTCCAGTCCAAGCTTGGTAAGGAACCACACTAGTGCTCCTTGTGGGAAAGTTACAGATGTAAACAGCCGTGTTAATGGCTTCACCCCAAAAAGAGTTGGGTATGCTTGCGTGTTGGAGAAGGCAATGAACAGTCTCTAGCAAAGTGCGATTGAGGCACTCTGCCATGCCGTTCTATTGGGGAGTATGGGCTGTTGTGTATTTAACTCTTTGGCAAGACTGCGCACTGGAGAGATTTACAAGCAGGACTATAGTGTGCATTGTACAGCAACATGCCCCAGACAAGCATGCCAGAGCTCAATGGTGTCTTGTGCCTGGAAAGCAAGCACTTGAGCTGGAAAAACCAGTTCTGCATTTAAACAGTAGAGTGTTTCATACCTCATGCCACTGGCTACAAGAGTACCAACATGACCATAGATGGTGCACCCTTTTGGGAAGAAGGTGGTAGTAAAGCCTTGATCTGAGGCTGCACCTATAGAAAAAACTGTCTACCTTGCTTCAGGTACAAAGTGCACATGATGAACCTCTTTAAGAGGTCCATCAGGTAGCTTGATCACCACCATGCCACGACCTTCCACCTGGAGTGGCCGCTTGTCGCCGACATAAACCTGTTGTGGAGCTTGAAGAGCCTTATAAGTGTGAAATGTAGACCTTAAGGGAGTCATGTGAAAGGAGGCACCACTATCCAGCCATAGAACTGCAAGAGTAGACACCGGTGACAGGTAAAGAGCCATCATCACGACACTTTGCACGACACTCACGCTTAACATGCCCCATCTTTCCATAATAGTTGCAAGGACCCTTTTTCTTCTTGGAGAAGTTAGATTCAAAGCTGGGAGTTGTAGCAGAAGAGATATGAAGCCCACGGCTAGTGCCTCTTTTCCTTTACTCCCCACTCAATTGTTTCTTACCAAGAAACAAGCCTACTTGCGAGCAGCCTGAGGGGATCCTTGATGGCCAGTTTGACACTCAGCAATCTTGCGCTCTTCCTCGAGCAGATTAGAGTAGAGCTCCTCCATGGTTTTGCCTAGGACAAAAGAAAGCATGGAGGACGATTGTTGCAACTCTAGGGATACAGAGTAAAGCAAGAAGGCTTTTGCATAGTCATCGGAAACTATAGCACCTAATTCCTTCAGCTGTTGCATTAAGCCTTTGAGCTTCCCGATGTATGTTGCCATTGTCTCACCAAACTACATGTGTAGGAAGAAAAATTTCTGGGTCAGAACCAATTTAGCATTACCGGCTATGGCTACAAAGACTTGGGAAATCCCAATTGGCTTTGGCAAATTTTTCTAGATCAAGGAGATGAATAAATTCATCTCCAAGACCTAGTCCAATCATGGAAAGGGCTTTGCGGTTCTTGGAGTCCCAAGTAGCCTACAAGGCTGCTTCTATATCTTGAGGTTTCACTTCGGTTCCCTCACCAAATCCCAACAATCTTTTGCCATTAAGATTAATTGGACTTTGGTCTTCCAAGTCGTGAAGTTCTCACCCGTGAACTTCTGGAGTAGCTTTTCCCATCTTGCATCCCAGTTGCCAGCTGGGATGGCCATGGTGCTCGCTAGGGTGGTTCTAGATGTAGTGCGAGGTGGAGTACTAGTAGCCATTAATTTCTAGAAGAAAGGACAAAACAGCAGAGTAAGCTAGAAGCGAAGAGGGGGAGGAGGTGGTGGGCATCATTGGAAGGGATGCCCACACGCCGTGCACACAGAGCAACAATGAGGGTAGAGGCACGGATGGACATCACGTTGCGCTCACTTGTGTTCTTGAATCCATCACTCCACCCTAGCAAGGACTGCGAGAGCCCTAGCGCAGTCCTGCTCATCGCGTTGCTGTGTTTGCCAGTGTTTCGCCATCAGGATCGAAACAAACCCAATACCATGTAGATGTGTGATTTTGTGTACACGGAATGCTCTGTCAACTTCATTGCTTTGGTATAGTTATGTATATAATGGTATAGGTGTGACACTTGGCGGTTGGTGTCTTGGATGAATGACTTATCTTCTTTGCTGACGTGGTGTCTCCACACTGGATGCACACTATCTTCTCCCACGTCGCATAGAGTGCAAGGGAGTACATGCCAAAGTTGATAACCTGGCTATCTTCTCCCACGTCGCATAGAGTGCAAGGGAGTACATGCCAAAGTTGATAACCTGATGAATTGGATTTCTCTCGATCGATCAGAGAAGATGTAGAACTTAGAGCTCATATGGATCCATGGTATACTAACCACATGAAGGAGGATGAGGACGCTGGCACTGTTGTGAAACTTTGATCTTGGGAGTAGCAACATCGCGTTTGGTGTGGCGAGAAGCTTGTCTCCAAATTTGCGTTCCATGCTGATGCTTGGAAGCATGACCACCACCAAAATGCAAGCCATCCCGTAGAGATTTGCTGCCTGGTACTCGTCAGGCTTCCACATTGCATCCATGATCTCCCTTGCAGTGAAAAAACATTATCAAGGGTGAGATCTTACACAGGGATGGGAACGTTTCCGAGGATCAGCATCCCGACCAAACCAGTAAAATATTCCTGGGAGCTTCGTGGTGACGAATGACGGACGTTTCCGGCCTGTGGGAATGATTTTAGTAATGATTGAAAAGTATAGTCTTGCCTTTCTGTCAAACAGCGTTGCTATTGTCATGTAAGCAGAGTCAAAGATAATAGTGACCACTCCCAGGAACGACCAAACTCTGTAGTTGTGAGCGCTCGGGAAAAGAATTGGCAGTGAGAAGATTGCCCCAAACACAAACGTCCAGGTTCTCTTGTCCAAGTTGTCATTCACGGTGTATGCCACACTGCCCCAATTGACAAGGAAGTCTGAGATATGATCGAGAGTGACAAAAGGAATGTCAGAAAGAACTCTCACTTGCTACATGCTATAAGTTGAGCCGACGAAACATAGAAGAGTGTGACAATGTTGAACACGAGGGAAACAATCATCCATTTAGATCCCAGAAGCCCTCCAATAACTTCGTGAAGCTGCGGTGCTCTTAAGCGGTCGATTCAAAAACTCTTTGATTGTACCTGAGTCGTGTGCCAGGGTTGATTCGCTGTTGTCTCTGGATTCACCATCCGCTTGTGTCTCAAGTAGAGAACATTTATCGCGGATTGAGACCACAATCCCATCGCCGATAGAAGGAGCTGGAAAACAATGGCCGAAGGCAGCCCCAATTGAGCAGTGGATTGTGGAAAAGTGAGGAGCCGCGAAGCCAGCTACACATGTTTGTATGATACTAGTCAGCCACATCTATCTCGAGAAATCAGTGAGAAACCTTCGCAGCAACAATGTTGAGCTAGGCATCGGAGCCTCCGTGCCACAAGAGACGAAGAGCGGCTTGATCCCGGGAGAATGAAAAGTGATGAGAGACTATTTTTGTCACTTACCATGTTCCATCCAAACGGAACGACCTCTCCTTTACGTTCAAAAACGTTAAAAATTTTCAGCCGTCACTGACAAACAAATGACTAACATTTAAGACGAAAGACTCATGTGGTCCCTATATCTTGGTGTCCATAGAGACAGACACGTTTTGAACCACCTCTGAAGGTATAAACACTTGGGAGGGTCTCATGACTTTGTGGGAGCACAGCCTCTCGAGTCTTCTCTTTTGAAGTTTCTACAGGACTTTAATGGAGCTCGAGAGCATTCACAATTGGGCTTTCCTTTTTCATGTGGGATGGAGCTTTGACAGAGGACTTTCATTGACCTTTCAGCGAGAATCAAGGCATAAACTCTTTATCTCTTCAACAAAGGCTTCTCGTTTGACCATGACTTTGGGATTTTTTTATAAGGGCCTTCGTCTGAGCGGGATGTCGAGATAGATATGGAGCACCAAGCTCTTGAGGTGGAGGGGCAGAGCCTCGATCAAAATGATCAATCACTAAAAAAGCTACAAAGGAGCTCATTCCTACATGCAACATTCAACAGTGTCAGTGCCATACTTGGTGAGTGATAAATCGTGATTGACGATATTCTTCTTGATTTGAAATGCTTCAAGCAAGCTGCCTTGATTCTTTGCAGGGATTTCTTTCCTCACCACACCCTACGCTCTCGAGCAAGGTGGCTGGCTGGGTTTGAGCATCCTGTTCGCGTTTTCAGTGATATGCTGCTATACTGCCTATGTTCTTAGTCGCTGCCTCACCCCAAATGGATCATACAACACAATTGCCGAGGCTGCCTTCGGTTCCAGAGCTCGCCTTCCCTTCACCTTGCTGGTTCAATTCGAGATGATAGCAGTGTTGGTGGGCTACACGATTTCCATGGGTGACAATCTTGCCAGGCTATTTCCTCATGCTACTCTTCGGATCTCAGCTCTTGAGATTGGCCCTTCCAAGGTGCTGCTTTTCATAGCGTTCCTCGTTGTTCTTCCAACAGTCTGGCTGAGAAACTTGGCATGGATATCGTATCTATCTCTATTTGGTATTGTTACGTACATGATCATCACGGTTACGATGATTTATGCCGGAGCTGGATTGGGTATCGGGTTTCACCACTCCGTTCCACACTTGAGACCGGAAAACTTGCTCAACATCGCGGGAATCTATGCCTACTGTTTTGCGGCTCACTGTGCTCTTCCTAGTGTTTATACGTCGCTCAAGAATCCCTCCAACTATGCAAAGGTTTTATTTTTATCGACTGACATGGAGATGTAAAACTAAACTTCGTACTGGACTTCTAGGTGTTGGTTCTCAGTTTTATGATCTCCACCATGATATACATTGGATTCGCGTTTCTAGGAGGAACCATGTTTGGGGACTATACACTTCCGCAAGTATCTCTAAATATTCCCACACACTTGGTTGCTGCCAAGCTTGTGCTATGGATGGTTGTTCTCCTTCCATTCAGCAAGTATTCGCTATGCCTTGCTCCCATAGCTCTCGATATTGAGAGCAAATTCCCGTGGCCCAATACTTCGAGATCCTTTGTGGCATCCAGCCTGCTTCTCAGGACCGGTCTCCTGATCTTCGTTTTTTTGTTGGCTATGGTTTTTCCATACTTCGAAACCATGGTGGCATTTATAGGCTCTGCCTCAGGCATGCTCGTAGCGGTGACCCTTCCTTCGTTATTTTACTTGAGAATATACAGAAACGTGATGCCAAAGTGGGAGGCCGGAGTCAACTATGCCATCTTGGCTGTGGGAACTGCAGTGGGCATGGCTGGAACCATCGCGTCCATCATCAATTTTGTGCACCGCATAAGATCATGATCATCATCCAGGTAACTCTTCATTTGAAGAATCTTCAAATAAAAAGATGACAGCGTTATATAGCTTATGATGGCATTCAAATCTCTCCATCCCATAGCTCAAACGGTGACTTGTAAGGACTGGTAGTGAAAATCCTTTCCTGTGCGATGCTCTCGATTCGTTTATGGTCCCCGCCTGCCAAGCTGAAATCGAAGCTATTAATGTTTTCCAGCAGTCTCTGGGAGTTGTAGCTCTTGACAACGGGAGCTACATGGATTTCCGTGAGCCATCGTATGATCACCTGTACGCATGGATGAATGAAACTTAACGGGAATCAAGAAAACCATGTACCTGAGCAGGAGATTTGTGGTGCTTTAGAGCGATTTCCTGGATAACAGGATGCTCTAGTACGGATTTGCTTCCCCAAGGCTTGCCAAGACCGTGACCAAGCAATCACTTGGACACAATTTCTCTTGCACAAGTCTCTCAACTGCTCTTGCTGCCGCAATGGATGTAACTCAACCTTGAAGAGTGACAACACAACTTGGTAGAAGTTTTCTTGAAGATCATGGTGTTACCTGATCCACTGCAGGAGTGATCTTTGCATGTTGAAGCAAGTCGTGCAGCTTTTTCGTGCTAAAGTTACTCACACCGATTGCCTTGGCCAGCCCCTTTCGAAAGCATTCTTCCATGGCTTCCCACGTAGCCGGGATGTCCACAGGTAAGAAATCTTGCTTTGCTCTCTCTGGGAATTTCTCCAAAGTTTGTGGTCTCTCGCAGTTTAACTACCTGGATCTGTCGACACTACCTACATACATACGTACACACTACAAGTACCTTGTACATAGTTTTCTCCTCCAATGTTTGTCTTGTTTGCGCTATAAGCTCTTCTAACTTTCCTGTGTTGCTACAAAAGCTTTGAGCACTGATAGATTCGTTGGAGCCTTCTTGTGTTCTTTCCATCGCTACAAACGCTCCGAGCATTGATAGATTCGTTCAAGAGATCTATATCACTTGTGGAGCTGCCAAAAGAACTTGTGAGGATCCGAAAGAGAAGGAATCGAATGCCGCACACTCACCTTGTCCCGTCCCAGCTTCTTTTTCTTCCTCGCCATCTCCTTTCTAGTGTGCTCGTCCAGGCCGCTTCCCTCGAACTCAAACCCGGTATAGTCCTTGAAAGCTCGGCTCATGAGCATCTTCCTCTTATTGTCGATCTTTCGCTTGCGGCCGGAGAGATCAAACGCCTCGGGGAGCTTCCCCGCAAGCTTTGGAGATCGAGCGAGCTTTCGCTCTCCTCCCTATTTGGATGCAGCACTGCTGGCGGTGGTACTAACACTCGCCCTCCTCAGCCTGGCCCTGTAAGCGCGCTCGTCCTCGTCGAAACCCGAGAAGACTGGCGCGTGGGTGAAGTCGCGGGCCTCCTTGAATCGATGGAGCGCCGTGCTGCGGAAGCAATTCTCGCTGATGTAGCCCTCCTCCTGGAACCCCCGATCGCTGAAGTCCCTGCGCGTGAATCCCTTGTCAGCGAACCATCGCCGAGGCAAGTGGAGCGATCGGAGCCGCCTCAACAAGCCGCCCACAGCCGCTTTACCTCATCGCAGCATTCTCTCGTCATCAGCCCTAAAAGGCTACATTGGGATGATCAGAAAGTAATAACTTGAACAATGTCTTCTCTGCTTCTAAATTTCCAGGCACTTCCACTCTTGTATGATCCTGATGATAATGAGAATGTGGATAATGTGGACTTATCACACGAGCACGTACTGTGGCAGACTTTCTCAAGAGAACTAAACTAATACAAGATGCAGATAGGTTCATCAAGAGAATGTCATTCACTTCTTAGTGACTGCTTAGTGCCTGTAAAGTTCACAAGGACTTGGAGAGATGATCAAAAGGTGGCGATGGATATGCTTAAGTGTGAAGTGTGAGCATATGAGTTCTGTGCTTTGTAGGAGCTTCATTATTGCCGAGACTTGAATTCAAACTATCTCTTTATTTTCTATCTAAGTCACGTGTATATGCACTGTTAGCACAAGTATTATATAGAAACTGAATAAGAATTTTGATGGATGGCTCAAAAGAAGTTAGGTTGATTCAAAAAATACCTCTCCAAATTTTTTAAGAGATGGAGAATGATAACTCTACAATGGTGAGATGTGATGGTAAGAATTAAGGACTAATGCTTAATATAAACATGAAGTCTACCTATGTATGTATTAAGTTTCTAAGCATAAAAAGTGGCAAGAGGAAGATGGATAAAGACAATAAATTCTACACAACCAACCATGCAAACAAACCGTCAAGTAGGCAACAATCAAAAGTAAAAGCAAAATAAGTGTTAGATAAAATGCAACACATCATGGATGAGTTGACAAGAACTTGTCAAGTGAAATGCTGATGAAGCACAAGCAAATGTTCTCGAAAAATCACAAATCATATCACTGATTTTATTATTTCAATACTTATTTACCATATTTATTTCTGTTGCTTGAGCAGTATCTAAAATATATAACTGTGAATAAACCAATATTATGATAAACCTGTCCATGTATTTTAAAATAATAAGGGCCACCTACTGCAATCTCTTCAATGTTTGCACCTATTGATGCAAATGCTAATGCACTATTATAATTTCGTATTAATACACATATAACTTTTTTGACTGCAGGTATTATATTAGAAAATACATTTAAGTACTTATAAAAATGTATAAATGCGAAGTATGAAAGTGTCTCTGAACACTTCAACATCATAAATTATACAATCTGCTATTTTTTTCGTGAGTAACCTTTTTTACTTGAACTCTGAAACAAACAGTGAATCTAACTGAAAGAAACATAAGGTTGTTTCTTGTATTTTTTCTCTCAACACATTATCATGTTCTTCTCCTTCGCATTTTTTTTCAATGGAAAGCAGATGTGTTTCCAATGTGGAAGCTCTACATGCGGGACTGGCCATTTGAACTCTACATTGATATGTGGGCTAAGATATATCTTCTTTATCTAGCCAGGCATTAGGGTAATTCAAGCCAGGGTAGTGAGCTAATTAGCTTTTTTGAAGCTTAATAGTGATGAGGATCTGATAGAAATTCAAGATGTAATGCTGCCACAATGTGCCAACTTGCCATGGAGAAAAAAGTGATGTATGCTCATATCCAAGTTATTAGGGTGACACCATCCAGCCAACACTATTACAAGCTAGCATTAAGTGAGTCACATCTATTTCTTGTTGATCATGTAGATAGAATAGGAAATCTATTTGTATTCCACACTTTGACAATGCATGCATGGGCTTCTGGTTACACAAATTATACTATAAATTAAAAGTTAAGATATTAATAACTTATTCTATAATATTTTAATATCATAAAAATCATGATACTAAAAACAAAAATTTATATATACATTATAATATAGCATGTTATAATATAACAATAATTTATATATTAAGCATAAATTATGTACAAGGAACTTTCAATATAAATATTATATTATGTTTAATTGTATGCCATAATAATGATTATGTTAAAAATTACAATTACAATTACAACTTTTTGAAATTACTAAAACATCAGGAATAAACATGATGCTCCCAGCGTAGCTGGGACTTTTGCTAGTCTTTCTATATTTAAAAGAGCAAGGGCGACATATTTAATTGAGATTCTTTTCGAGTTTAATAATGGTGGAGATGAAAACACATTGCAAAAAAACAGTTGAGGTTGAAATGTTTTTTTTAGGGTAAATCAGTTTTTTTCAATGCATTTTTCTAGGAACGGCTGCACACCATGAGGTTCGCTGCATGATTACATTGGTCCTTGTGTTATATATGAATCTTTCCTTTACTGTCCAGTTTGTACTCAAAGATGCCGTCAAAGAGATCTCTGACTTCCCATGGCACTTGTGGAATCATGAACAGACCATCTGATCACAATAGTGCTGTCCAAAGGCTGCCAGGCGCTCAAGATTTCCACCCAGATCGACTTGAAAAGCATTTTACCATTCAGCTGGAGCACCTGTACAATAAACTTGTAAGTTTGTGAAAGCAGTTTACAGGATCTCTGAAAGAGATGTCCTCTCTGCACCAAACAAGATAAGCCACTCTATGTTTACTTCATTCTCCTGTATATCTGATAGCTCAGATCTCCGTGGAACAGAAGAGGCAGCTCCTCCCTGAAAGTCTTGATGGCATAGCCTACATTAACATGGTAATCCAGACTTCCTTTCTTGCTCTTTGCTACTAACGGATCCTCTACTTTGCTATTCAGCTTGTTGAGAGATTGCAATAATGCACTTGAAGAGGTTGCTTGAATCTATCTCTGCTGCTATATGCCAAGCTCAGCACTACCTCTAATGAAAGCAGCTCACTACATACCATCTTGTCAAGTTCGCTGCAGACTGAACATTGTCTTCCTCAGTCAAGCTGATTTCTTCCAGTTCTTCATGCCAAACAATGGTATGGCACTCTTAAGTTTGAGCTAGAAAGCTTTCACATATTGTTTGTAGCCAAACTGAATGCATTTTCATGTGCAATGGCTCAGTGACAACAAGCTGGATCCCATTCTAGAGTCACTGGCCAAGCTACCTTGGTTGGCTTGCACAGGCTTAACCTCAGCGAGTCCATCTATCCACTGGCAAGTTCTCAGTGTTGAGAATAGTGAGCCAAGTGGCAGTGATTGAGGAGGTGAGTTTTCTATTTTGATGCTTTTAGCTCCCCAGCAAACATCTGTATTCTCTTTTCTTCTTCTCTAGATTACTGACAACCTTGCTTGGAATGTATTACAGTCATACACATTGGAGATTAAGTTTCTTGAAGCTCTCTGATGCTTCAAACAAAAGGCAAGCACTGCCACAGTCAAGCATACATGACAATTGGCTTCAAGAAGATAATGTCTAAGTTTATGAGTTTTGCAGTTGTCAAATTTGCAGCTGTTCTTGGCTCTTCTGGATCTGCCAAGTGAGTATTTCCGAGCTATGACTAGATTTCTGATGTTGAAGCATGTGAAGCTTTTATGCAGTTTTGGTCAGAGTCTAGAACAATGCGGATCTTTGCATGGAAACCCGGGGAACATTTGAAAGAACCTAGCACTTGAGGTGATATGCTCATTAACATTTGTGATTTGTTTATCTCGAGGCATCTTTTTCTTAGGCACTTTGAGCATTGACTTACATGGGAACTTTCATTGGTGGGGGCAATGATTCTATCAAAGAAGGCTCTGGAAGACGCTTATATTTGGAAGCAGATGATCTGTTTTCAGACCTCTTGAAAGATGAAAATGAAGGCTTAGCATTAAAAAGAAGTGACTATATTGCTTTTAAGGTTACAAAGGTCCATCTTGCAGGGTTTAGGGCTTAGACAATAGACTAGAATTCTATTAGAATAAATTAGAATTCTATTCCATAGCATCCTGGTAGTTTTGATTCATCTGTCGTGGGCCTCCAGTGAATGAGGATGGAAGTATTATTAGTTTTCCAGCATGTACCCTTTGCTGTTCGGCTCTGTTTTTCATGAAATCTAAGAGGCCACCGTATGCTTCAGCATGTAGCTCACGTTGGTGGTTTCTTATCCATGTTAGTCGGCCACCTTCAATCTTGGTGTATGTATCGACCATGTATTGTTGTGTGAGTTTTCCTGTTGTCAACACAAGGTTGAAATATATGCTTCTTATGCCATTGTGACATATGCCCCATATAGCAAATTTGTGTTGATAAAACTCCATCATTGTGACATTACAACATTTAAGTGTATTGCTGTTATCTATGTATTTTATATCATTTGACCAATCACACTCTAGAGGCTCTTCTACATGCATACACCTTCACGCTGGTTGGCTCATGCTGAGTACGCTTACAACATGACTCATCATTCTGCTATTGGAATGTCCCGTATGCAGCATTATATGTTTGAGCACTGGGAAAAAGAATTGGGTAAATAATAGGGTCACAACATGATGAAATGATTGATATTTCCTGCATTAATTCTTCCTTTGGATAGACTGCTATACTATGGTCAAATGGTGGGTTCCCGCTTGGATTTGTAAAAATGGCAGCAACTTCATTTGAACACGGTGCATTGTATCTTCAAGGATCTGTTGTGCTCTCTCCCTTGATGTACATGACAATGAAAGAGACATCTCATTCTCAAGTTCATGCAACATCTTGAATGCTTTTGCATAGGGATTGATTTCTCGTAAGAGAACATCTAATCTTTACATTAGTTCCCAGTCACATTTTTTGTTATGCATATTTCTCATTCTTGTTGCTGTTGCTTGTGCCGTATCTAGAATATAGAGTTGTAAATACATTGCCTCTTGATCGTCTCGTGGTCTGAAGCTGCCCATATGGTGATACACTTGACTGTGTATCTTAAAGTAGTATGGTCCGCCACCCGAAAATTCTTCAATGTTTGCTCCCATGGAAGCAAATGCTAGAGCACTATTATAGTTCCTTATTAGTTCTTTGAAATTTTGCTAGTTTGAATTACCTTCTAGCAACCTCTGGATCAATTCAGGGAAATGGTTTCTATTTTTTATTTGGACACGGCCGTGATGATAGCATTGTGATTTTGTTTCTCCATTAAAATGGAAAGCTTTATAATAGACATATTGTTTGTCTATTGGCCCTATGTAGTTTTCTTCACAGTTTCCTTCATGATTTGTGTTTAGGAGCCCCATTCTCTTTTGTATATAGTGATTTATTGGTATGTTAATGTATGGTGCATTCGTGTTATTCACACTTTCAGGAATGCTCAAAACTAGTTCTATTATTGCTCGTCTTTTTCTTGTGTTCATTTTGCTGACTTAGCTCAGATCTCTATGGAACAAAACAGGCAGCCCCTCCTTGAAAGTCCTGATGGCATAGTCTATCTCCATCTAGAAGTCTCAAGCTTCTGCTCTTGAAAAGTGTGCTGCCAAGGACTTGCAGGTAACATCTAAATATAAAACGTATCAGCATTTGGAATTTGGAATTGGTAGTTGCCAACCCTGCCAAAACTAATGCGTTGATCCTCAAGGATTTTGCCCCTTCCATTCCTAACAAGAACATCACTTGAAGGTTGTTGTTTTTAACCTTACATATGACAGACATTGTTCCTATTTATATAGCTCAAGCAAGCTGAGGAAGATTTGCGAAGCACAAAGGCAAAACATGAAGACTTTCAGAAGAAAGTTGTAAGAATCTCATGAGAACTGAGTTTTACAACCATACATGTTTTATCATCCCTTTACTAAACCAGCCATAGTCTATTGTTTAGCAAAAGTTAATGTTATAAGCCTCATTATAATAAGAATCAAGCAGTGTCTATCACTTGTAGATCCACTACCTTCTAAACATCCTCAAAAATCTGTGCATACTTGCACACATCTTGGATAGGAGAAATCCCAACACATTGCAATGCAGTCCCGGCATGCTGCAAATTCGGAGAGCCAACTGTTGAATTTCCTACAAAATAAAGAGTAGGATCTTGAAAGGCTTCTTGAATGTTCTTTCCTTGCTGCTCTACGGTTATCTAGCATGTTAGGTGAAAGTCTGCAAGAATTCTGTAGAATAAATTAGAATTAATGCCATCATAAGCTATATAACTCACTCTGTCATCTTTTTATTTGAAGATTCTTCAAATGACGAGTTACCTGGATGATGATATGATCTTATGCGGTGCACAAAATTGATGATGGACGCGATGGTTCCAGCCATGCCCACCGCAGTTCCCACAGCCAAGATGGCATAGTTGACTCGGGCCTCCCACTTTGGCATCGCGTTTCTATATATTCTCAAGTAAAACAACGAAGGAAGGATCACAGCTACGAGCATGCCCGAGGCAGAGTCTATAAATGCCACCATGGTTTCGAAGTATGGAAAAACCATAGCCAACAAAAAAATGAAGGCCATGAAACCGGTCCTGAGAAGCATGCTGGATGCCACAAAACATCTCGAAGTATTGGGCCACGGGAATTTGCTCTCAATATCGAGAGCTATGGGAGCAAGGCATAGCGAATACTTGCTGAACGGAAGGAGAACAACCAGCCATAGCACAAGCTTGGCAGCAACCAAGTGTGTGGGAATATTTAGAGATACTTGCGGAAGTGTATAGTCCCCAAACATGGTTCCTCCTAGAAACGCGAATCCAATGTATATCATCGTGGAGGTCATAAAACTGAGAACCAACACCTAGAAATCCAGTACGAAGTTTAGTTTTACATCTCCATGTCAGTCGATAAAAATGGTAGCATAGTTGGAGGGATTCTTGAGCGACGTATAAACACTAGGAAGAGCACAGTGAGCCGCAAAACAGTAGGCATAGATTCCCGCGATGTTGAGCAAGTTTTCCGGTCTCAAGTGTGGAACGGAGTGGTGAAACCCGATACCTAATCCAGCTCCGGCATAAATCATCGTAACCGTGATGATCATGTACGTAACAATACCAAATAGAGATAGATACGATATCCATGCCAAGTTTCTCAGCCAGACTGTTGGAAGAACAACGAGGAACGCTATGAAAAGCAGCACCTTGGAAGGGCCAATCTCAAGAGCTGAGATCCGAAGAGTAGCATGAGGGAATAGCCTGGCAAGATTGTCACCCATGGAAATCGTGTAGCCCACCAACACTGCTATCATCTCGAATTGAACCAGCAAGGTGAAGGGAAGGCGAGCTCTGGAACCGAAGGCAGTCTCGGCAATTGTGTTGTATGATCCATTTGGGGTGAGGCAGCGACCAAGAACATAGGCAGTATAGCAGCATATCACTGAAAACGCGAACAGGATGCTCAAACCCAGCCAGCCACCTTGCTCGAGAGCGTAGGGTGTGGTGAGGAAAGAAATCCCTGCAAAGAATCAAGGCAGCTTGCTTGAAGCATTTCAAATCAAGAAGAATATCGTCAATCACGATTTATCACTCACCAAGTATGGCACTGACACTGTTGAATGTTGCATGTAGGAATGAGCTCCTTTGTAGCTTGTTTTGTGATTGATCATTTTGATCGAGGCTCTGCCCCTCCACCTCAAGAGCTTGGTCCTCCATATCTATCTCGACATCCCGCTCAGACGAAGGCCCTTATAAAAAAATCTGGTCAAAGAGTTCATGCCTTGATTCTCGCTGAAAGGTCAGTGAAAGTCCTCTATCAAAGCTCCATCCCACATGGAAAAGGAAAGCCCAATTGCGAATGCTCTCGAGCTCCATTGAAGTCATGTAGAAACTTCTAAAGAGAAGACTCGAGAGGCCACCGAGTCACGAGACCCTCTCCCAAGTGCTCATACCTTAAGAGGTGATACACTCTCGCTCAAAACTTGTCTGTCTCTGTGGAGACCAAGATACGGGGACCACGTGAGTCTTTCGTCCTAGATGCGTTTGGATGGAACACGGTAAGTGAAGAAGATAGTCTCTCATCACTTTTCATTCTCCCATGTCCGCAACAAATTCATGGGATCAAGCCGCTCTTCGTCTCTTGTGGCACGGAGGCTCCAAATCCCTGTCGAGGCTGGGCTGGGCGGTGGATTTGAGCGTTTGCCTGTGGATTCTGGTCATGCAATGTGGGCTGGGCTTGTGGGGCGACGTCAACACTTTCGTCAAGGTGTTGGAAAGTGCCACCAACCCTGAGCATATTCCTAGAATTTAGGGCTATCGATTCCTCCAATGTGACCTTTTAGGGCTGATGATGAGAGAATGCTGCGAGGAGGTGGAGGTAAGGCGGCTGTGGGGGGCTTGTTGAGGCAGCTCCGATCGCTCCACTTGCCTCGGCGATGGTTCGCTGACAAGGGATTCACGCGCAGGGACTTCAGCGATCGGGGGTTCCAGGAGGAGGGCTACATCAGCGAGAATTGCTTCCGCAGCACGGCGCTCCATCGATTCAAGGAGGCCCGCGACTTCACCCACGCGCCAGTCTTCTCGGGCTTCGACGAGGACGAGCGCGCTTACAGGGCCAGGCTGAGGAGGGCGCGTATTAGTACCACCGCCAGCAATGCTGCATCCAAAGAGGGAGGAGAGGAGCGAAAGCTCGCTCGATCTCCAAAGCTTGCGGGAAAGCTCCCCGAGGCGTTTGATCTCTCCGGGCGCAAGCGAAAGATCGACAACAAGAGGAAGATGCTCATGAGCCGAGCTTTCAAGGACTATACCGGGTTTGAGTACGAGGGAAGCGGCCTGGACGAGCACACTATAAAGGAGATGGACAGGAAGAAGAAGCTGGGACGAGACAAGGTGAGTGTGCGGCATTCGATTCCTTCTGTTTCGGATCCTCACAAGTTCTTTTGGCAGCTCCACAAGTGATATAGATGTCTTGAACGAATCTATCAATGCTCGGAGCGTTTGTAGCGATGGAAAGAACACAAGAAGGCTCCAACGAATCTATCAGTGCTCGAAGCTTTTGTAGCAACACAGGAAAGTTAGAAGAGCTTATAGCGCAAACAAGACAAGCATTGGAGGAGAAAACTATGTACAAGGTACTTGTAGTGTGTACGTATGTATGTAGGTAGTGTCGACAGATCCAGGTAGTTAAACTGCGAGAGACCACAAACTTTGGAGAAATTACCAGAGAGAGCAAAGGAAGATTTTCTTACCTCTCAGGCAAGGGGCTGAGCAGCGCCGTCGATTTTGTTGGTAGCATCGGCATCGACGGCAGCGGTGGCCAGAGGTCTGGAAGCCTTCTTGGCGGGCGAGGGCGAGGGCGAGGCAGCCGCGGCAAGGAGAGGCGACGAGTGCGATGGCGATCCTGGCGACGGCAGCAGCAGGCCATTGTGATCCAGCTTGATCGATTCGCCGGGGAGGATGCTGATCGCGGGCCTGTTGTGCGGCACCATGGAGCATTTCTTGGATTGGTGCCCTCCCGTGGGGGAGGAGGAGGAGGAGGACAGCTTGAGCTCTGCGGCGGTGTGGGCGACGGCGTCGTGGCGAGACGAGGGCACCAGAGAGCCCGATGGAGCCGATCCAAACAGATCTGCGAAGAATCCCCCGGAATCACCTGCTGGACCTACCAGGCGAGGAGCATTGGGAACGAAATCCATCTTTTCCTCTCGGGATTGACGAACTGATCGATCGCTCGCTTCTCTCAAGCTTGATCTTCCCAAAGAGACTATGACGTGCACGGATCTGTCCAACGTGGCAAGGACGTGGCAGTGTAGCAGCACGCGGCGGCGGTTCGAATCCCAGCACTAGCAAATAGTCCGACGTGGACACGATGTGACAACACAGCCCGATATGGCGCCATGGTGGACACGACGTGGCAGTACGACCAAGTACTGCTCTAGAAAAACTACGTGCGTTGTCTGCCTCGTTCATGGCACATCGCTCGCAAGTGTCACAAAACCAAAGAGAGGATCACCGCCGTTTCATCCCCAGACCGGAATTTTGCGATGATCTTAGCGCTGGTTGCAAGCATTCTTCTGGCGATCCAAGCACTCGCAGTAGCAGCAGTTTATAGTTCTTCTTACTCCACTCCATCCAGATACAAAGGAGGCCTCTGGAGATATGCTCACGCGACCTTTTACGGAGAATACGACGCTCTCGAAACCATGGGCAAGTCACCAGATAGAACTCCTCCTCCTCGTCCCTGCTTTGTTTGTTCCTTCGTTTAGCACCATGATCCTGTTCTAGCTTCCATTTGAACTTGGCTAAACTTCACGTCTTTTCTTCCAGGAGGAGCTTGTGGATACGGGAACCTGTACTCGCAAGGATACGGCACTGATACCACTGCACTGAGCACCGTCCTCTTCAACAGCGGCTATGGTTGTGGAGGCTGCTACGAGATATCTTGTACACAGTCCAAGCATTGCTATCCCGGCTCCACCATCGTCACTGCCACCAATCTCTGTCCGCCAAACTGGTATAAACCATCCAACAATGGTGGCTGGTGTAATCCCCCGCGAATCCACTTTGACATGTCCAAGCCTGCCTTCTCGAAGATTGCCTACTGGAGAGCCGGAATAGTTCCTGTTCGCTACAGAAGGTACGCGGCCCTGTGGAGTGAATCGACTGTCCCAAGCTCGAAGACTAACCTTGTCTTGCAGGGTGCCTTGTCGGAGGAAAGGTGGGATCAAGTTCGAGCTCAAAGGCAATCGCTGGTGGCTCATTGTCTTCGTGAGCAACGTTGGAGGGCCTGGCGACATCAAAAGAATGGCTGTTAAAGGATCCAAAACTGGCTGGTTACCAATGTCACGCAACTGGGGAGTTGGATTCCAGGTTTTCAAATCGCTCCATGGCCAAAGCCTTTCTTTCATGGTCACCTCCTTCACGACTGGAAAAACTGTGACGGCATACGACGTTGTCCCTGCTAACTGGAGAATCGGCCAAGCGTATTCTGGTGGTCAGATGGTATGATCTCCATCACCTTCGGTTTTTTTCTACACAGAAAAGAAGTAGAAATAAAAAACCTTTGCAAGCAAAAGATATGACTTACCTCTCGAGCTTTCTTCATCGCCAGGAATTCTTCCAGTTCCTTGATCTTGTTGTCCTCCTTTTCCTTGATCCTGTTGGTGTATTCATCCAAACCACTGTTACTATAGTTGAAATCCGCATAGTCCGTCTCGATCCTCCCCTTGAAAAGCCTCTTTTTTTTGGGTGGCTTCTTCTTCTTCTTCTTCTTCTCCTCCTCCTGGAGAATTTCTAGCTCTGGAGTATCCTCGTTCAAAACAGAGACTTTGGGAGGTAACTCCCTGTTTCGCGGCTGCCCAAGCAAATCATCGTCCTCCACCTCCCATGGTTCGCCACTATCACTGCTACGTCGATCGCTCTCTCCGCGATTAAATCTATAGACCCGCGCCTCTGGCTCACCCGATTTGGCCTTGGATTCCTCATACTGCTTGCGCGCATCGCCAATGCGCTTCTTCTTCTTCATCTTCTTGGCCAGCTCCTCTTCGTCGATAGTGTTCCCGCAGTAGAGCGGCGCCCTAGGGTAGGGATTCTTGAATCGCCCCTCATGCGTGCTACTGTACCAGCTAGGATTGATGTAGCCCGACGCCTGGTACCCCGGATCCGTGTAATCCTTCCTATTCAGGCCCCGATCCGCAAGAAATCGCGCCTGGAATGCTAGAGCCTGCGACGATCCCAAATGCCGCCCATACGAGCACGCGCGGAGGAGAGCACGCATCGCTGCTGCCCAGGAGCCCTAAAATTTCAGGGTGGAATATTCACTCCAGTGATTTAGTTATTAGGGCTCTAGAGGAAGGAATGGCGTTCTTCAACAATCACACCCTAGCGCTGGACGCGCTGGGGACGTCTGGATTCGTGGTTCCCACGGAGCAGCGGGCGGCGATGGATACGTCGCTGGTGATCAAGAAGGAGGAGGCGGGGTTGAGCACCCTGGGCTTTTGGGGGAGAGTTTACACGCTCACAGGCAAGGATTATCTGGTAGCGCAGGGCTGCAATGGGATCCAGACCTCGGACGATCGTATCAATGTCGATGTGAAGTGCTACTACAGGTTTGTTTCGATTTCTCGATCGGATTGTTGGATTTCTCTCTCCTTTCTTTGGTTTTGTAGCTTGGATGGAGCAAAGTGGTTGGATCTTCAGCCTCTCACGGATGATGCTTACGACATTTGCAAGACTATCCAGGGAGGATTTAAAGGCGATCCCAGCCAAAGGTACAAGGCTCTTGTTCGTGTCCCTCCGCCACCTCCGACGCCGCCAGCTCCTCCAAGTAAAAACTCGGCCCTCGCTTTCGCTTTCGCTTCCTCAACAAGAACATAAGGTCTGAAGGAACGTTTCTTTCTTTTCCTGGTTCTTTTTCTCAAGGAAGCGTTCGTGTTTTCGCAGAGGCGGCTGCTCCTATAGAGGGTGAGAATCCAGACGCACCAAAGGTGGAGGAAGTTGAGAAGCCGGCAGAGGCCGAGGTGACCACGGACAATCCGGAGGGACAAGAAGAAGAGGAAGAAGGCGAGGAAGGCGAAGAGGGCGCAAAGAAGAAAAAGAAAAAGAAGGATCCCAACATGAAGACTGTGGAATTTGGCGAGGTAAGATCTTTCAAAGTCGTTCTTTTCTCGAGTGATGTTCTGTGGATCTCTCAGCTGGACAGGCTCTCCGCCTTGATAAGAGCAGTTGACGAGGAGTGTGGAGTGATGCCAGTGAATGCGCTGGTCCTAAACGCCAGGAAACAGCTCGTTCCAAACACACTGTTCTCAGGTAACACGATCATCCTCAAATCCTTTTCTCGTTTTCGACAGCCGCGTTTCTCTCTCGCAGGAGTAAAGTTCCCAGAGAAGCTCGATTCCTATGGTCATCTCTATCAGCGCTACGAAGACACTCTTCTCTCCAAAGACATCACAGGTAAACGAAGCTCTCACGTCTTTGATCTCTCGCAAGCTCAAGCCGGTGTTCTCTCTCCTCCAGGATCATGGAGCGTCCAAATGACTCCCATCACCGGAGATGTGATCCTGCGAAGCCTTTGGTGGCCTGGATACTCCTTCTACTACAACGCGTCTACCAAGGCGTATGGCTCCTTGTACTTTGGAATGGGAGACAAGAACCTCGACTTCGCGTTCATGGTTGGCTGAGTAGCGGTGGAGTGTAGCATCTTTCACTGTAACATACTCGCGAGATCAAACGCAACCTTTGATTCACACAAAAGCTTGGAGCTCGCGAGGCTAGCGTAAATCTCTCTTAGATACCGCGCTTATAGCGAAGGCATTAATAAATCCACAGCTAGAAGTACAAGGAAAGGCAAGGGGGAAGGGGCGCTAGGGCAGGAGGATGGAATTCCGGAAATAAAAAGGGCGAGCGATCGATCCATTCCAGGTTTTTAGGGCTGTGGATCTTCCCATGGGGAGCTTGTGCTGCTGCCCGGTTCCAGAGAATGTGGAGGAGCTCGTCTCCTACCCCAATGGCACGCTCTACCAGCGCTGTGCTTGCCTCCAAGGCTGCATGAGATGGCTCCTCTTCTGGGTGAGTGAAACAAGAAGATCTCTCCTCTAAAGCTCTTCCTTTGGATCGAAAAATCCTTCCTTCCTTTTCTTTCTTGTAGTACGCGTCGATGTTCGAGAGGATTGGGCCGGGCTTGCCATCGACGCATCAGTCGCCTCCATCGGCGTCCGGGGTGGTGGTGTCCGCGCCGCGCTCCTCCGACTCGCTCGACACTTTCAGAGCTCCTCCGCGGCCGCTGCCTTACGACGTGGATGCCAGATACGTGAGGCTGCCGCGCGATGGCTTGGTTTCCAGGAGGGACAAGATTGGGATGAGCCACTACAGTAGCGAGAGCGGTGGCGGCGGCGGCGGCGAGGCGCTGGCGCTGCTCCCCCGGCAGAGCTCCGACTCGGCGGCGGCGGCGGAGCACGCCGAAGACTCGGACTCGATCGACAAGCAGCAGCTCCAGCAGCAGCACTCGTCCAAGCTTCTGACCAAGTCGGAGTCGATGCTGTCGCTCATTGACGACGAAGACGCGTGCCCGACTTGTCTCGATGGTATTGCTTGCTTCTTTCGAGCTCTTGCGATCTTCATTCGATCTTTTTCTGTTTCCTTGCAGTATATACACCCGAGAATCCCAAGATCAACACCGAGTGTGGCCACCACTATCACCTCGCTTGCATCCTGGAATGGATGGAGAGAAGCAAGCACTGCCCAGTCTGTGACAAGGTATGTATGTGACAAGCTCTTCTTCTTTCGGGTCTCTCTCGATCGATCCATGGGCTATGGAGGAGTGATGAAACTTCTCTTTGCTTGTCCAGGAGATGGTGTTTCACGAGAGCACGGGGGCGTGACTGGCTGGTTCCTGCGAGGAGGAATTTGTATATAACACTCGATGGAAGAAGAAGAAGAACAAAGAAGAAGAAGGAAGAACACATTTGTAAGTAGTAGTATACCAGGTGCTGTGCTAGACAAAGAGTGGAGAATGGCGATTCCACCATGTTAACAGCGAGCGCATTGCTTGAGGTGCTTTAATCGAGTCGCCCACCAATGGAAAGAACAATTTAATACAAATCTTAAAAGTAAACATGCTTTGTTCCTGGCCGTTGGATTGAAATGGGAGTGGTTGATTTTGATTTGCTCGCCAGTGCCCTAGCCCTAGAGCTGTGGGCGCGTATGTGCGGCGTTGGCGATCACCAGGTATGGCGCCATAGATTCGGACTCGCTTCTCCTCCTCTCCACCGGCGCCTTGGTCTGATTGATTGATCCTGGAATGCCTAGAGCTATCTCCCTGCCTGTCTGGGTCCTATCAATCAATCCCTTGTGTCCCTGGCCTGTGATCGATAGAGGATTGCGAAGCTTTTGATTGGATTGATTGGCAATCCACAGGTGGAATCGAGCCGAGGATGACTGGCAAGGCCAAGCCCAAGAAGCACACGGCCAAGGAGATCGCGGCCAAGGTGGACGCGGCCACCACCAACAGAGGAGGCGGAAAGGCGGGGCTCGAGGACCGATTGGGGGCGGACAAGGGCGGCCATGCCAAGTTCGTGTGCCCAATCTGCAAGGCCACCGCGCCGGATGTCAAGAGCATGAAGATCCACCACGACGCCCGCCACTCCAAGCTTCCATTCGAGGAGGAGAAGATTGCCAACCAGCACGCTGGGGTGGAGTCGTCCGCCAAGGAGAAAGAGAAGCCGGGCGTGCGAGGGAGCCATAAGAAATGACGAAGCATCCATCGCCTGGAGGAAGAAGAGAGAATCGCCCACTAAAATCTGACCATGGATTTACACTATCATGGGAAGTAACAGCGTAAAAATCCCAAGGGTAAAGAAGTGCCCTAGTTAGGGTTTGGTTAGGGTTTAGGGAGGGTTTTGGCTTTAGTAAGGGGGGAAGGGTTTAACGAGGGCCTAGGGCTAGAGCTATGCTGAGATGCGCGCGTTCTTCCTGGCGGGCGGGCGCTGGATCGATGCGGCGGCGAGAATCTCCAGCTCCAGCGCGGGCGCTAGGCGGCATTTCGCCGACCGAGGCTACCTGAGGAAGGATTACAGCGATCGCAACTACAGGAAGAAGGGGTTTGTGGATCCCGGGAATTTCTCCTATACGGTGCCGCAGGACTCGAGGAAGGTGTGGAAGCCGCCTCAGTTCGCGGGGGAGCGCTACGAGCATCGTAGCCACGATCGCGAATCCAGGTACTCTTCTTGGAGTGCCAAGGATGACGAGGAAGAGAGCAACTATCCATTCACGGGTAGTAAGCTCGACAAGTATCCCAGCAGCTCCAGGGCCTACGCTGGCTTCGATTCTAGCGAATCGCAGCTGGTGCCGGCAGCAAACTCGTCCACTCCTCCAAAGAAGAAGGACGAGGAATCGGAAGACGAAGACAGCGAGCTCGTTGTTCGTGATCGTTTCCAGATAAGAAAGACGCTGTCCGACGATGCCGACTCGTCGCTGCAAACGTTCCACAGACCCGACTGCCGACTCTTCGAGATCTCTGGCAACATGGACGAGGACTGGCAGCCGGCGCCCTCCGACGAGTGCCTGGTTTTCGAGATGAGAAGCCTGTTCAAGCAAGGGAACGTGGCTACCTGGGAAGCCGAGGACGTTGTTCGCAGCTTTGGTGGTCAGCTTCGGCCTTTCCACGTCTTTGAGGTGCTCAAGTCGTGCACTCCAAGCGAAGCTGGAATCGCCCTCGCGTTTTTCCGCTGGGCCGGGCTCCAGCCTTTCTTCCAGCACGTAAGCGCGACTTACAACATGATGCTCAAGCTCCTCCAAGAAGCCGGCAAGTATCTTGACATGGCCCGGCTTGCCAAAGAGATGGAGAACGACGACATTCCCAGGACTGTCGAGACTTCCAAGATACTCCTCGTCAGCCTGTTCAAAGGGGGCTACGTTGAGGACGCGCTGGAGGTGTTTTCACAGATGGAGAGGTCCTCGTCACCTCCGGGTTTCAACGAGTACAAGTATGTGATTGACAGGATGCTACGATCCGAGTGCTACTTGGTGGTGCCGGTGCTGTACAAGGGCCTCATGACTGCTGGACACGCTCCAGATTCTTACGTGTACAACGCGGTGATTAGCAGCTTGTGCAACGTCGCAAACATGGACGAGGCCATGAAGGTCTTCTCCAAGATGAAGGACAAGTCCACCATCGACCTCTTCACTTATACCATCCTCATCGACGGCTACATCAAGTGCCACAACGTCACCGGTGCTACCCGGCTCTTTTTGGAGATGCTAGAACGAGGATGCTTGCCGGGCGAGGAGATTTTCAATCTCCTGTTTGGACTCCACGCAAAGGCCGGAGAGCTGGACGAAGCCGTGAACTTGTTCCGGAAGATCGCGGAAAACGGTTGCCAGCCGACAGTGAAGTCGTATGGAATGCTGCTGGATACTTTTGCCATGGTGAACAATCTCGAGGGAGCTCACGCCTTTTACATGGAGCTCATCGGCAAGAACATCTACCCGAGCTCGGTTTCGTGCAACTCTCTCCTCAGCCGGCTGAGCAAAGCTGGGAAAACGACGCTGGCTCTCACCTTCTTCCGGGAGATGAAGTCGTTCCCGGGAACCAAACCGAATGGGATAACTTACAACATTGCGATCGACCTCTTCGGCAAGACTGCGAAGTTTGCAGAGGCTTGGGAGGAATTCCTCGACATGAAGCGAAACGGCTGCAGTCCTTCGGTTGTCACTTACAACACTTTGATCGTCAGGCTGGGGCGAGGAGGATACATCGAGCTGTGCTTCGACCTGTACGAGGAAATGAGGGAGCGCGGGATCACGGCCAACCAGTTCACGTACTGCGGCCTGATCGACGTGCTCACCAGGTACAACCAAGTGGAGCACGCTCTCGAGTTCCTGGACGAGATGAAGCGCCTCCACTTCCATCCCAGCTTCAACACGCTCCAGCTCGTCATCAAGAGCTTGTGGAAGACTGGCGACTTGGCTGCCGCAAAGCAGCTGTGCCAGGACTATCCCGGCGTCTACACTCCGCAGCTGGAGAGCTCTCGAGCACCACCATCGGACACCTCCACAGCAGTGGCGACTCACAGTGGTGGCTGGCAGCGGAGTGACTACAACAACACTTTCTCGTCACAGATGGAGCTGGATCCCGCAATGCAGCTGGATCGATACATGGAGCAGTGGTGATAGCTGGATCGCGTATCGGACTCCTCACGGACAGAGCTCTTTCCAACTCTTCCAAGCTTTATGGGTCTTTGATCAAGCAAGGTATTTTGTTGTTATCCCTCTCGTTTAACGAGGTAAGCACAGGAAAGATGGCAGTGACGACGAGATGGATGTCAACCATGGCGAGCTTCTACATGTGATATTCTCGTGCGGATCCTTGAACACATTCAGCCTCTTCTTGCAGCACATGAGAGCGTCGCTGGGCTACGACCAAGAGTCCATCAATAGCTTCTCGGGCCTCCTCTACAACTTGGGTGGCGCTCCATTCCTCCTGGCTCTCAGCCATTCCTTCTCGCACTCTCGCCTGTGGGAGGTTTGCGTAGCTCACTAAGCTCAAGTTGCGAAAACTCCTGCGGCGTTGGATCGGCCCTGCCAGATCAGCCTCGCACTCGGCTACTCGGCTTCGGAAACGGGCGTGTTCGTTGCCATCCTCGACTTCATGGGTGGCGTCGCTACCGGTGCACTGTCCGACAAGCTGCTGGACAGGTATGCCACACCCAGCCACCTGCAAAACGTTCCCACGCTTGCTAAAGGCGTAGGAATGTTTGCTCTGTCCGTCAAACTGAAGGTGGTGACGCCGGAGCACGGTGCTATCGGGTCACCTTCTTGCTCATGGCTCTCGCCTGTTTCATGACTTCCATTCTGGTGCTGCGGAGTAAGCTGTACAAGGAGATACTCGTGAGGCTTCTAGGATCATCGGCTGCAAAGATCTAGAAAGCCATTTCGATAATTCTTTGAATGAGAAATCTCACGCTTAACTCGATGTTTCTTTCGTTTGCTGCTTGCTCACAACTTGGAAGAACCGTCACAGGGGGCACAGCTCGTCCATGCTGCACTTCAGACAGCCATACTGTCAAAACCACGAAGGAAAAGGCTGTAACTTACCTTGCTTGGAGACACTCTATGATGTTGCCAGTGACAGTACTCCGCCTGTGACGAGTGAAAGCGTCCTGTGCGGCTCTTCTTACCAGGACAGACCCCGCCAAGGCTCCTAACATGCAGGGATTCCGTGACAGCCTGATCAGACAAAGAAAAAACATAGACTCATCAGAGGTTGACGCTTCGCCAAAGGCTGTGCTTACTTTTCCATGTCCGGCGACCCTTTGCATTGTCTCGCCCAGGACGTAAAGACCGCGACAGTGCCCGAAAGAATGTCTCCTTGACCGCCACAACGCCTAGGCGATCCGTAAAAGTCACACGCTAGCACTGCAAACGAAATCCAGAGCACGATTATTCCTTCGGCCGGAAAAAGCTAGAAATGCAACCAAGAACCTGAGGTGCCATCGCTCATGTAATCCGTGAAACCTTTCTGCAATATTGTTACTCCTCCCAGTCTGAAAAGAAGCGGAGAAAACATCGAAGATGAAAAACAGAAGGTCAAACCATACTGGCTGGCCAAGGACTTGAGCTCGTCCGGAATTTTGTCCGTTTGAACTTCGTGCTCAGCGCCTTTGATCTTCTGAGCAAGCCGTTTGTGCTCGTTGATATTTGGTGTCAGCGTCGCTAGAGCGTAGCCGGAGATCAACTCTGGCTCGCTTGTCACGAGAAAAAGTCCATCCTGAAAATCTAGCAAAGTTATTCGCGATGAACTTCCAAACAATGACAAGTCGTACCCCGTCCAGCACCATGGGAATCTCCTTGGCTCGAGCCTTACGAATAATTTCCGAGACACAGTCCTGGCATGAACGAAGTTAGCCTTGGACACAAAAGTGGTGGATGGTACCAAAAGGAGAGGGTCTCGGCCAAGTCCGGGTCCGATCACGAGGCAGCTAAAACCGCTTATCCATCGATCGATTTCGCTGAGAGTTTTGTTCTTGGTCGCTTGCTGACTTTCCTGGGATTCATCCGCAAGTTCATGCGATTCCACGAAGATTGGATGGACAATCAGCTCTGGACTGTAGCTTTTGATCACGGTTGCTGCACCATTCGTGCAAAAAACATGAGAGAGATCTGCGCCCTGTCCAAGAACTTCCATAAAAAAAAAAACAAAACCAGGAAGAACAAGAAAAAAAAAAAAACTGCCGGCTAACCATCTTTAGTGCCGAGATAGCAGAGAAATACGGCGCTCCAGTGTACTCCCGGCAGCCTCCAATCACTGCAATCTTCCCTGGAAGAGATCCAGAAGTAAAACCAGGAAGAAGAAAAGAGAGAGAGAGATCTTTCTTTACCTGCTTGTCCCTTGTGTTTTTTGGGATCCAAGGGCGGAGCAATGGCCCGCATTGCCGCGAGGGCGTGATCCAGATTTCCTGCCATGGCCGCGGCGGGGATGGATTGGATCGCGCGCGCCCTGACGAGAGGAAGACGAGCAAGACGAGGAACGAGGCTGTGTAGCGCCAGAGCAGCGTGGACAAGTGTCGCCCTAAAATTTGAGCACTTGAGCTCGAATTTAAGTCAACGTCTTTTGACTCTCGGTCAGAGACTTTTGACCACTTGGGTAAAAACCTTTGACTACTTGACTAGCACTGCAGCGATTCTAAGGTATCAATCGATCCATGGAACCTTGGAGTGCTGTCGTTGATGGCGGTGATAGCATCAACAGCAAAGATCAAGCGCTGCTGTATGGTCCTCCATTTGACAAGAGCTTCCAAGATCAAACAAAACAAGCCTCTCTTCCGAGTGGCATTGCAGATTGGAGCAGTGGCAATTTGCCATGGCTACGACTTTGGCTGCTCTAGAGCCGATCTCCTGGTGAAGAATGGGCCAAGCTTCTTGAGCTCCAGGCTCACACCGGACACATCCAGGATACTATTCGAATCCCAAAATATTTTCGTCCCTCCTCCATTGCATTGCCGCTTATCCGGCACTTGCTCGCTTCTGACAGAGCAGCTGAATGAATTGTCGGAGCGCAAGCCGAAGGAGGTGGATCGCAGTGCTCCCGACATCCCAAGATTCTTGGCTACTTCTGCTCTCACATAATCTCAGCTCTGGTGAGACTAGAGAGTCTCCTCCCACACTCCTCCATTGCTTTCAGGATGCAGCCTTTGTCCAAGGTGGCTTGAAGATTCTAGTGTTGTCTGTTTTCCACTAGGGAGTGGTCCAGTTGTATATCAAGTAGTATCACAAATCTAGAGCTGCTGTGTGGATTCTTTTGCCTTCAAAATCTGGCTAGTTTAAAGATTAGTAAAGTTTGGACATGTGCAAGAAGGAAAGTATTGAATAATAATTGTGTACTCTTCATTTTCTATTTTGACAATGTACAATATCTTGGAGCAAAATTATACTCAATATCAAGACTGTAAGAGCTTTTCACTCCAAAATTTATATTAATATCTTCACCAATAAAGAAAAAATAACACTTTAATAAGTGAATAATTTTCATGCAACCAATAGAAGCTTGGGAATTATACTCTAAAAATGTGTCATGAACCACTTTCTCAATTACAATTGTCATTTCTTGAGCTAGTGGAGTCACTTTCCTCTTTATCCTATCATGTAACATTTTAATAGAAGGCCTTATTCCCAGTATCTTCCTTCCTCGAATGTTAATGCTTTTGAAGACTTTTTTATAGCATGTATCAAATCCAATAAATATATTTTATACAAATTTATCTTCTCTTTCCCTGCCTCAGAAGAATGTTAACTCTAATGTTTACTCTTGGAAAAATTCACAAATTAGGGTGTATGCGAGATCCTCAAATAGTTGGTTCTAATGAAAAAGACAACATTAAAAGGCAATAAAAATAAAGAAGAAATAAAAGATTTCACCTCTTCCAACCACTCTATCCTAAGGAAGGAAGAAGTATATTTTGGCTTTGTAAATGACACAACATAAAGGAGAATTTTTGCAAAACCAACACTTGAATTCAATAATAATAGTGTCATGGGCAAGAGGATTAATTATAGACCCTTCAAAAAATATAGAATTTTTATAGTTATTTTGATTACATGCTTCATCCATACAATCCAAATGCTTACCATAGTAAACTATAAACATTGTTCTTTCAAAATGTTAGAAGTGTGTGGTTTTGATATTACACCAATTTTAAACATTCTATTTGACCTCCATCCCTTTTTGTTTAGAACTAATGCTATCAATAAGAGGTGGTAGATCAAAGAAGATCTTGTTATTGTAGTAAGATGGAAGCTCACTCATGGGTTTATACGGAAGTAAGTGCACATTGACTAAGAAATGGGAAAAGTGGAAAGCATTGTTAATGACTTTGAATATTACTAAAGATAAAGATAGCGAATTTGGGGGTAATACTAGCATAACTTTTCCACTTAAACTGGAAGAGGAAGAGAGGATGATGACTAACTCTTTCTTTACATTCACTTTGGCTGAAACACTTTGATTGGAAATCCAAAAGTTTAAATTTTCTTGGATTTTAAATTTTGCAAATCTTATTGTTATCCACCCTTGCCCACACTAAAAAGAAGAAACACCAAGCAATAACTATATCAGTGTTGTTTCGGATCCCAGTCTCCGAAAAAATAGAGCCAAGACAAATATCAAAATGGCAATATAAAAAACTTTCAAAAACATGGCTTTGAGAGAATAAAACCAGTGGGTGATCTCAAAAATGTAAAAGAAACATTTTCATCCTTCTTTATAGATTTTGGAGTTCTCTATTTCCTTTATGTTGCTTATAAAAATTTATAATGAAACATAAATTGAGATTTAAGGAGAGCAATAAGAAGAATAACAACAATGTACAAATGAATTTAAATACTACAACATATCTAATATGTGTAAGTGTGATAGTATTATCATGTGTTTTGCTGTTTATTACATGCACATAAATCCAAGAAAAGATTTTCAACACGTGAAGTTTGATTGTTAGTGATGATGTTAATAATGATAGTCTATTTTGGCACACATGTAAACTATTAGTACTTTGTTAAATCTTTAGTGTTAGGTGATGTCAATAATGATAATTTTTCAATGATATAGTTCTGATTCTCAATATGAGTTGAGTGTTATCCATATATGCAAATACTGCTCAATGACATTTAGAGCACGTGCCTATAATTTAGGTTCATACACAATGTTGAGGATTCATCCATTCATAGATTGATATAGTATAATATATTTAATATAACAATGCAACATGCCAGATTTATACTCTTTAAAGTTATGTCACGAATCCAAAATATGTATGAAATCTTGTTGAGAATGTATCCTTTCTATATAATTGGGAAAAATAATATTAATTCTCCAATAACTTAAATATTGAAAAGTACTATATACACCATCATTTATAAATTTTAAAAATTTTACATACAATATGAATGTATCTTATGTTATTGATAAAATAAAATAAGCTCTAGGCCAAGTAGTTTCTAGCCTCGAGGGGCTGAGGTTATTTAAATAATTTCAGGCCCCCAAACCCCGAAACTACCCAAGGTGGAGCTTAGGCTAGCCACCTTGGGCAATTTCTAGCCCCTCGAGGCTAGGGTAATTTTGGCCTTGAGGGACTAAAGTTATTCAAATAACCTTGGGCCCCCACATCCTGAAACTGCCCGAGGTCTAGCTCGGGCTGGCCACCTCAAGCAGTTTTTGGCCTCGAGGGGCCAAGGTTATTTACATAACCTTAGGCCCCTAGACCCCAAAATTGCCCTAGGTCTAGCTCGGGCTCGCCACCTCAAGCAGTTTCTAGCCTCGAAGGGCTGAGGTTATTCAAATAACCTTGGGCTTGATCCCGAAACTACCCCAGGTCCAACTTGGGCTCGCCACCTTAGGCAGTTTTTGGCCTCAAGGGGCCAAGGTTATTCATATAACCTTAGGCCCCTAAACCCCAAAACTACCCTAGGTCCAGCTTGGGCTTGCCACCTCGGGCAGATTCTGGCCTCGAGTGTCAAGACCCCCAACAAGATCAAGACTGGAAAATGCAAAAGACAAAGAGAAAAGCTAGTGAATAACAAAGAAAAGGCCTTAGACTGGTATTGATTCAGATTGTGGAGAAATGGAACAAGGCTAACCTATATATACTATAGGTTGATGAAGCTCCACCACTCTTGGATCGAGGATGGCCCAAATATAGTTGAGGTTGAGGAGGCGCCACATCATCATCAGGAATGTGGCTCGAGACTCAGGAATCGTATGGGAAATCGAGAGTTAGGAATAGGGAAGTGTCTCGAGAGTTAGGAATGTGGTCTGCAGGTCAGGAATCCGGTGAGAGTCAGGAATGTGGCAAGAATTGGGGATTCCTGACAGCACCCCCTCCGCAAGAACGAGTGGAATGAGGACGTGAATGAGAACGAGGAGGAGGATGAGATGGGCGGCGAGGGACGGGAGATGGAGAAAAAGAATGAGGACTGGGACGAGAAGGATAGCGGCGGTGAAAGTCCTGAACAAGGTCAGAAGAATGAATTAGGTTGTCCGCAGGTTCCCAAGTGTGTTCTTCAAGTCTATAACCCTTTCAGTCGACCAGATAGTAGAGTTTAGACCGTGAGATCTTGGAATCAAGGATGTCCTGAACCTCGTACTCAGACCCATCCTCGAGCTGTACTGGTGGAGGCGGAGGAATGACCCGATTTGGAATAGGACTGGGAATATAAGGCTCAAGGAGGGAGGAGTGAAAAACGGGGTGAATTTGATATGAGGAGGGAAGTGCAAGGCGATAAGTGACAGGATTAATGATGGCAGTGATAGGGAAAGGACCGAGGCGTTTGAAATCGAGTTTGGGACATGGCCTGGTGGTGGAGATATTTCGCCTAAGGAGCCAGACTTTATCCCCAATATTGTAAGGGGGACAATCCTGACGATGGACATTGGCAAATGTTTTGTGAGATTCCTGAGCACGATGGAGGTGGAAGGAGATGGAGGTGTGGATTTCCTGGAGGTTGGAGACAAATGTCTCAGAGCGGGGATTAGAATGAGAGGATTTAGATGGAGAAGGAAGTGAGAGATTGAATCGGGGATTTCGGCCAAAGTTCGCAAAGAAGGGGGAAACTCGAAGAAAGGAGTGAACAGAGTTGTTATAGAGAACTCAGCAAGGGGAAGGATATCAAACCAGTCATCCTGATGATAGTTGATGAAGCACCTCAGGAATTGTTCCAACGTCTGAATCGTTCGCTCGGACTGTCCATCTGTTTGAGGATGATATGCTGAAGAGAGGTTGGCTTTCACTCCAAGCAGCTGCAGAAACCATTGCCAGAAATGAGAGATGAACTGAGGTCCCCGATCCGAAACCACATCTGCAGGAATCCCATGAAGTCGGAAAATTTCCTTGAATACCAGTTTTGCGATGTCCTCCCCCGAAAACTCCTTGGTACACGGCAGGAAGTGTGCCATCTTTGTGAAGCGATCCACCACGACTAAAATGCTGTTGAAGCCTCCAGAACTTGGGAGATCACTCAAGAAATCCATGGAGATGGATTCCCAAGGACTTGAAGGGACCGGGAGGGAACGAA